CAGTGTGTTAATCCAGCATTGGAGAAATACCTCATGCTCATTGTGTAGGAAAGGAAGGACTCTCAGAGAACCCTGAGGTGTGGTTGTATAGCAGACAGAGCAGCAAGTGGTGATTTTTTTGAGAAGGGTCTTCCAAGAGGGAAAGCAGATGAGGGGCTTGAGCAGTCAGGTTTGAGGTCTCTAAACTGTGTGAAATTGTTGTGAAAGGATGAAAGAATAGTGTGGGCCTTAGAGAGGGAGTCACGATATTCCTTGGAGTCTAGGTATTGTAATAATAAGGGTATCTTTATAAAATGACTCATAGGAGGGGCTGCAGAGGAAGAGGTCATCTACATACTGTATGAGACAAGAGGAAGAGGGGTGAAAAGAGTAAATCATGCACAAGGAGCTGACCAAAATAATAGGGGCTGTCTCAGAAACCCTGTGCCAAGATAGTATAGGTCAGCTGTTGGGACTGACAGGTGCCAGGGTCTGTCCAGGTAAAGCCAAAGAGAGGCTGTGTGGAGGAGTGTAGGGGAATAGTGAAAAAAGCATCTTTTAGGTCTAAAACAGAGTAACAAGTGATGCATGAAGAGATAGAAGTTAAGAGTGTGTAAGGGTTTGGCACCACAGCGTGTATAGGGAGGACAATTTGATGATTGACGTGGAGATCTTATACCAGCTTATAAAGGCCATTTGCCTTCTGTACTGGGAGAATGGAGGTATTGTAAGGGGAATTGACAGGAATTAATAGACTGTGCCGCAATAGGCAAGAGATAATAGGTTGTAAGCCCCTTAAAGCCTGATCAGGGATGGGATATCTTCATTGGGCAGGATCAGGGTGGTCTGGCTTGAGAGGGTTGGTAAGGAGTTGTTAGAACGAGGCCAGGCAGGGGATGAGAGCATCCAAGACTCTGGGGTTGAGGTGAGCAGAGATGAAGGAGAGACTAGAGCAGCTATATGCATTGGTTGTGACCCGGGGATAGTCAGAGTGGACAGCTTAGCTAAGACGTCTCTCCCTAAAAGGTAAATAGGACAGGTGGGGATAATTAAAAATGAGTGTGGGAAAAGGTGTTGGCCCAACTGACACCAAATTGGGAACGTCTTAAAAGGTCCGGAGACTTTGCCTTCAATCCCCACAACAGTAATTGGGTCCGAGGCGATTGGTCCTTGAAAGGAAGGCAAGGTAGAGTGTGTAGCATCTATGTTGAGGAGGAATGGAATGGACTTACCCTCCACTGTAGAGTTCAGCATCTGAAATGGTTCAGGAGGTGCTGTAGCCTCCAGATGGCATCATTGTTCAGTGGTGGCCAGGCCAAGAAGGTCGGGAAGGAGCCTGTTGGGGGCACTGGGGTCGTGGCCAGGAAGTGGCAGAGGCTGGACAATGGGACTTCCAGTGTGGACCCCCACACAAAGGACATAGCTTGGAAGGAACCCCAGGCTGTGGGCATTCCTTAGCCAGTGACCATTCTGGTAGCATTTGAATCATGGCCCTGGATGGGCAACCCGAGTCTGGGGAGCTTTGGATCCTTGATTAGCTACCTTGGCAGTTAACTATGTAGGGTTTCTTACAGAAGAGGCTAGCATTTGAGAGACGTCTTAACACCCTCTGGAGGATCCAGCTGAAGGAGCCTAAGGTCCTTCCCATAGTACCAGGCCAGGGAATATATTTATTTCTGGTCATGTAGGGAGAGAGTGTAACTAAGGAAGACAGTCAGGCCCAGATGAAGCTTTATCACTGGGTCAGGTATCTGAGGCATAGCTGGATGACTCTGTTGGACCAGGGGGTCCCTCTGGAGTGGGGCTCTGTTTGTTCCAAGAGGGTGAGCCTCTGGAGCGAGGCTTCACTCTAGAACATGCAACCTGGTTGGCCAAGCACTGGGGCTGTGAGAGTTCACAGATGTCCAGGGCATGCAGGGTCCCAGAGGTGCACTGGAGTCTAGGGACACATGGGGTTGTTGGCGCTGCACCAGACCTCAGGGTATGTGGGGTCTTGGGTTATGTTGGCCAACTAGGGCACACACAGGTCCCAGGGGTGTGTAGTGCTCCAGGGAGCACACAGTGGGGCAAGTGTGATGGAGGTCACGGCAGCAAGGTAGCCAGGTCTGGGCCTGCTCCCGCCCAGGTGTTTCAGAGGGGTGGCAGGCTGTCAAGTGCTTGCTGCCCAGGCTCTCTCCTGCTGCTCTGTGGCTGGGAGGGAGAGAGAGAAAAGGGCAGGGGAGAGGGTCAGAGCTGAGCTGGACAGGAGCTGGGGCCACTGGGAGTCAGGGTGAGTCCTGTGCCCAGATGTAGCGGGGCAGGGTAGTGGAGACCTCTTGACCCACAGTGCATGGACGCGCTGGCATAGCACAGATGCAGCCTGACTTGGTGCCTCCTCTGTGCCCAGCCAGGCTCTCAGAAGCCGCAGAGCAGGGAAGGGCTGAAGGGGAGATGGGGAGCCCCGGTGGAGCAGGCAGCATGAGGACACAATGGGCGGGGGGGTCTAGGCTCCTGGGGCACGCACAGGGCATCACAAGGAAGGACCCCCACACCCAGAGCAGGGGAGGTGGTGCCACTCTTGGGAAGGGGCGCGTGCAGGTGCAGTGGGTGGCCTCCTAGCTTGGGCTGTGATTATGCTGCTGGCATCTGAGCTCGGGCTCAGCAGGAACCTGTGCTCTAAGGCAGCATGAGCTGAGGCGACCTTAATATCCTCCCCTGTTGCACCATGCTAGCAGGCCTTGAGCGTGCCCAGGCAAGCTTGGGGCTGGACGGGGCTTGCTGGGCACAGACGCTCAGCTCCAGGCTGTGCAGCCCGGGCCCCGGGGCCCCTGGGAGTATACCTCAAGGCCAAGGCAGCAACAAGTAGGGAGCTGAGAAGGACGTGGGCAGGGAGGGGTTCTTAGGGAAGCTGAGACTTCGACTGAGGAGCTGATGGTCTCCTTGGGTTGAAAGCCCTCCAGGCAGAATTGCCTTATCCTGGGTATGGCACCACAAATGTAATGGAGGTGGGAGTGGCGTGGGGGTGAGAGACCACCAATGGCAGATCTTGTGCAAGTAAGGAGGCAAAGGAGTATATGTTGAAGGCTTGGTCCCCAAACTCGGACCTCCCTCTGAAGGGAACATTGGGACCCTGTATTCTTCCTCCCTCTCTGTGCCTGTCTCTGTCTGTCTCTCTCTCTGAAAATTGTTATTAGAGATATGTCCTTGAAGAGTACTGGGACTCCAGCCCTCCTCTCTCTCTTTCCCAGCCACTATGAGGTGAGCAGCTTCCTCCAACCCATGCTGCTCCCATGCTGTTCTGTGCCTAAACCAATAGGGCCCACTGACAATGGACCGAAAATGATAAATGTTTGATGAAATCAGGAGCATCTCCACCCAATATATCTGTTAAATTTCTACTGAAATTCGGTGACCTGCTATTATGTGGAATTGCTATTTAAAGTCAAGGAAGACACATTTTTCCATCCTAGGTGGCCATGGTAGTGCAAGCCTGTAATCCTTGCATTGGAAAGCTGAGGCAGGAAGACTGCTATGAGTGTGAGGCCAGCATGGGCACCATAGTGAATGCAAGGTCAGCCTGGGCTACACAACAAGACCCTGTCTCAGAAAACAAAAACCAAAATAAAACAACAACAAAAACCACAAATAACAAAAAGGACACATTTTCTTTAAATCTGCTTTTATTCTGAAACAGCAACTGGAGTAAGTAATTTGTTCTTTAACAAATTATTCAGTTTAGCTTGTTATTTTGTATATAACCATTGCTTCAAAAGTAAACATAAGGCAAGTATTGTTTGTTTACCACTATAAATTGATATTGCTGAGGGTTCAGAACTCAAGTAGATTTATCTGTCCCCATAACCTATTACTGCTCTGTGACAAATAGGATAGGTAGAATTGTCAGAGAGCCAAGGATCAATGCAGTGAACGTGGTATTCGTGGGAACATGGTAGGATGTGAATCCTACTGCCTTCTGTGGGTTCTGTAAGACAAACACTACAGGAGCTCAAGGGATCTTTGGTACTAAATGTTCTTACTGCCAAGTTGTAAATCTGTTGCTTTGTAAGTCCTGTAGGTGGGTATAAAGTACTTTCATCTATAAGGAAGAGCAAGGCTTCACTTTGCTTAGATATTTCTGACTGTCCCTGTTGACTTTCTTATGTGGCCTGTGACTGGGAACCTAATGATGTACTTCTTTCATTAATGTCTCCAAACATCATTGAGGGAATTTCTGCATTTTCATTACAAGAACTGGCCCTGAACATAGAGGTAAACCTAGAACCAGTAATGTAGCTGAAGCTTGGATTATACATTGCTGTCACACCACCCTGAGAGTCAAGGCTAGGATTTAAATTAGAACTATCTCTCCTATTCTGTGACTCTGCCATTTGCATGTTTTGAGTTGGGGCTAAGCCACTAAGCTGTAAATCACTATCACTGTCTATAAGGTTACTGGATCCTCTAAATCCTGTCGTTCTCTGCCCTAATATTCTCTGACTTGCACTAGATCTTGTATCATTTAAACCAATATTTGAACTTCTGAAAGCAGGTATTCTGAGAGTACCAACATTACTTCTTATACCTGCCTCTTCAGCACATGAAAATATATTTCGGAGCTCTACTTGAGCACTTTCTACACTAGCACAAGTGTACAGTGGCTGGGGTATTAATGGAATTGTACCTGTGTCATCTGTCGGAGAATGTTCTCCAGTCAAAATCGTGATTTGGAAGTCTGGAACTGAGAATTTACATCATGTTCTCAATTCCCTAGATTCCCTATTGCTGATTGTGCATGGAGAAAATTCTCCCACGAAATCATCAGTTAGTTCAGAAGCTGCAAAATTATCTCTATGTTGTAACACAGGACTGGTTATTGGTTGTCTCAATATTTCATGTGGTTCCTTTCTAGAAACTGTCTCAGTCTCATTTACTGATGCCACCTCAAAACGCTCAGGTGGTGTACTATGATGAATTCTCTCTGTCAGTTCATTTATTATATCTGAATGGGAACCACTTTCATCTTGGACTCTAGATCTCCGAGATCTCCGATTTCTTTCTTTCTTTTTCTTTTTTTTTTTTTTTTTTGGTACCAGGGATCAAACTCGGGTCCTTGCGCTTGCAGAGCAAGCGGCGAAAACACTGAGCTAAATCCCTGGCCCTAGATCTCCGATTTCTTCGTCTCCTTCTTCTTGATCTTCAAGTTCTGGTAGATGGGTCTTCCATTAGTGCTTCAGTTGTACTTTCATGTGATGTAGATGAAGTTGAAAGTGTTGACATAGACTGTGGATTTTCCACACGTTCTCGGAATAGTCTTGAAAACAATGAATCTTTAGGCTCTAAATTTGGTCTTCTTGAGTCACTACTGCTTGGATCACTCAGATTTCCTAATGTCCAGGATGGACTGTCTCTCTGTTCACTTTCTATCATATATTCAGCTTCGTCAAAACACGTAATCCCCACTGTTTCACAATAGTAATTTGAAAAGTCTTGCGCACCTGTCACCATAAAAGAGGAGGAGGTCAGAAGAGAAATAAAAAATTAAAAACATTATAAAATACTACTCTGAAACTTTGTTTCAAAAAATTAGAATATACTGAGTGCTTAAAGATTTGAAGTTTTGAGCATATTTTACACTTACACAGTTAACACTTTGTAAACAACATAGTTCAGATTTATAAGTAAAGGTAGGCTAGTTTCAATTCTATTTGAAAAGACTAAGCTGATCCTTCATAAATTCATAGATTTAAACAAGAGAATCTGATAAAGTTTTTTTCAATATTTTGTCGTGTAGAGTCTCACATACCACTGTGTAGGGCATGTCTAAAGACATTTCTTTCCGCCCACTGTCCAAATACTAATACAATTAAACAAGATAACCAAAAGGTATGGTTGCTAGAATTTTAGTTCAAATTACTGTATATTATTGTCTAGTCTTCATTAGTCTACAACAATACTTCTTCTAGGTTCTTGACTGATTGCTTTGATGATACACAAGACTGCTTTACAATATAAAACTCTCATAGATAATAGCAAAATGAAACAAGAATTCTGTGTCTCAAATCAATTAAATAGGATTTCCACAGCACTGATTTGAGGAGGTACATTGGAGATACTCAGAGAAGAGTCACAGAAAAAAATACAGGTATTCGGAAATAAGCGACCCAGTCATACCCAGAAATGGAAAAGCAATCTGAAAGAGAAATCCTCTAGATCAAACCAAATATCTGGGTTGTTGAAAAAGGGAAGCAGCACTGCCACTAGTCCATGCCTTCCTTGGAACTCTTTCTTGAGATGAAGGGTTACCCTCAACTCAAAACATGCAAAGGGCAGAGTCACAGAATAGAAAAGATAGTTCTAATTTAAATCCTAGTTTTGAATCTCAGGCTGGTGCAACAGCAATGTACAATCCAAGTTTCAGCTACATTACTGGTTCTAGTTTTGGCCCTATGTTCAGTGCCAGTTCTCGTAATGAAAATCCAGAAATTGCCTCACCGTTTGAACTGGAAGTAGATCAAACAGTGTGAGGGAAGGAGACAGCACTGCAAAGGCCAGACTCCCAAGATAAACTCCCTACATACTCTCCCTCCCACCTGGAAGAGGAAACGTAGCATTGGAGTAAACTGTGGTTGGGGGCCCAAGGAAGCCAGAAATTGTAAATGGAGAAAAGGAGAGAGAGATTTTTTTAGATGGGAAGGGGATCGAGAGTTGGAGTGAACAGGGAGAGATAATAGAGGAAGGGGAGCAAAAGAGAATTAACATGTGATATGTACATGTACAAATTCTCCACACTAAATATAATCATTATGTACTGCAAACATGTATTAATAAAAATACAAAATTAATGAAAAAAGAAAAAAGAATAGAACAGTGCTTTAATTTAAATAGCACCATTCATGGTCATGTTGAGATAACCCTTAACATGATTCAAAGGATTCAGACAAAACTAACCACAAATATATTAACAGGTTCCAACAGTCTCTCAAATTTCCTCAATCTCTACTTACATTTCCCTCCCCTCAACCTCCACAAATATTTTCTTAAACCCACTCAACAATAAACCTTTCCTCCAGCTAAAACATACTTCCTACCTGTTCTGAACTTCTATCTATATTTCACCTATCAGTATTTCGCTCATCTCAATCTTCTCCTGACTAACTCCCTTTCATTCCTCTTCCCCTTTCTTTCTCTTTCCTCCCACACCACAGAAGATTCACCGATAATTGTACAGGATAGTCTGTATCAGACACTGATAAAAAGGGCAAGAAAGTAAAAATTAATTAAGAATGTAAAAACATTAAACGTTAATGTTTATGATTGATGTATTGCTGCATCTGTGTTGTTACAAAGAGCAGCAGTTCTCACCCTACAACACAGTGACTGGGTTTATTCCACCTAAATTGAGTAGGGGGGAAAGTAAAAATACCTCTTGATAAAGGAAGCTAAATCACATCACTGGAAAATAGGACTTAATTGAAGAGATCTTCATGCAAACAACAAATTCTCTTCACTGTATCAGACCACAACTCCTCAACTCTTAGCACATACACACAATACAAATAAGAACATGAAAAACTAAGGCAACAAAATGCCTCCAAAGACTTCCAAATCTCCCAAACCCAATCCAAGGGGGCACAAATGGAGATGAAATCAAACATCAAATGGCTGAGCCACATGAAATGATTAAATAAAAAAGGAAGAAAGAGCGAGCTCAAAGATGACATTAACCTAAAATATAGTGGAACTAACAAATCCATCCATGTGCTTATAGAACAAGCCAATGAAAGCTTAGAAGAGCTGACCAAAAGTAATCCAAAAATGTGTTTTAGTTACTGTTCTATCAGTGCTGCACTAAAATACCTGACACTTTAAGTTAAAGGGGAAAAGTTTATTTAGTTCACAGTTTGTAGACGTTTCAGTCCATAATTGGGTGGGTGGTTTGGCAGAGGGCATCACAGAGGAGAACCAGGTCATGGTAAAAAGAAACAGCAAAAGCAAGCAAGCAAGGGATGACCATAGCTCTTTTTGTCTCCCTTATATCTTATGCAGGTTGCCCTTTCTTAGGGTGGGTAGCCCTCACACCCTTCATCCTAGTGCCCTTGATCCTAGCATTGTACCACGAATCAATCCCAGCATCACACATTCTAGATCCAGCCACCTCTGAAAAAGCCCCACCTATGACTGCATGAAGCCTTTTGCAGGGGATCTAGACACAACCCATAACAACATGAGTGGCAAATTGACCAGAGATATACATTCTATAAAAAGATACCAAACAGAAAACTCGGATATAAACAATTTTACTGAATATCTATACAGCAGAAGTGACCAGTGTGAGCAGACAGTATCAGACCTCAAATACATAATGAAAACACAAGATGATTTTCTCAGAAATACCTTAAAAATGACAAGAGAGGAAGGAAAATTAAACTAAGAGATATTAGATGACACTAAGAGGTTGAACCTAAGGACATTTAGAGTTAGAAATTAGACAACAACACAAATGGAACGAAACATTATGACATATCCTCTGCAATTGGGGAATTTTTTTTTTTTGTATTTTTTTTTCGGAAGGTTTGCAAGTAGCCAATCTGAGAATATTAGTCAATTCTCCTTGCTGCTGATTGGCTGCTGCCCTGTAACCCATCTCTCCAGCATTCCCTCATCATAAAAGGTTGCTGAACCGCATAGCTATCTCCAGTGTTCTTGGTTTTGTTCTTTCTGAAGCTTTAATATCCCTGGCCAGATATGTAGCTCAGCAGCACAGCACCTGCCTAGCAAACACAAGATCCTGAGTCCAATCCCTGTTACGAAAAAAAAAAAAAAAAGACTTAAAATTCCTGAGATTCCCCCCAAACGCCCTGCACCTTCTAAGGCTCCTGACAGTGAGCTTAAGCACCAGAAGAAGTTTAAGACAGTCCAGGAGAAGGTTAAACACAGTACAGCATTTTAGTATATTAAGTTATTACAGTACTGTATACAGTATTCTATTAAATTACATAACTGCGGAACACACCATATTTAGGGTTTAAAGTATAAAAATCAGCATTTATAGGCATTTTTTAAACATATCTGAAATTTGTATATTTTCACAATTTATGGGTGCTCTAGGAATGTAACTCCCATGAATTTCAGGGGGCTACTGTAATTACAAATAGCACTTTTAATATTTCTGTATATTCAATAGCATCAAGAAAAATAAAATACTTAGGAATCAATCTAATGAAGGAAGTGAATGACCTTTACATTGAAAACCACAGTACTCTGAAAAAGGAGATCAAAGAGGATAATAGAAAGTGGAAAGATACTGCCTGTTCTTGGATAATCAGAACAAATACAGTAGAAATGGCCATACTTCTAGAACTGTTATACAGACCTAATGCAATCACAATCAAAATACTAAGAGCATTCCTCAGAGAACTAGAGAAAACAATCCTAAAATTCATATGGAATCGGAAGAGACCTAGAACAGCAAAAGCAATTCCGAGCAACAAAGGCAAGGCAGGGAGTATCACAATCCCTGATTTGAAGTTTTACTACAAAGCTACCATGGTAAAAGCAGCATGGTACTGGCAAACAAACAAACAAAAGAACAAAACAAAGAATAAAACACAAAAACCAGACCCAAGGACCAATCAAACAGAGCAGGAGATGCAGAAACAACTTCAACCATACTCAGCTACCTTATCTTTGACAAAGGGGCCAAATAACTTCATTGGAAGAAAGATAGCCTGTTTAATAAACTGTGCTGAGAAAAATGGCTTTTTACATGCCAAAGATTAAATCTAGATCTATATCTCTCACCATACACTAAACTAAAGTCAAAATGGTTCAAAGATCTAAATACTAAAACTGCAGTGATTAATCTGCTGGAAGAGAGAATAGGTAAAACTCTTGAAGACATAGATGTAGGCAAAGACTCTATGAACAAAGCCCAGATTGCATAGAAAATATTACAAATAATCAACACCCGAGAGCACATCCAATTAAAAGCTTTTGCACAGCAAAACAAACTACCAACAGAGTGAAGAGACATCTCACAGGATGGGAAAAGAATTTTACCAGCTACTCCTTAGACAAAGCACTAATATCTAGAATATATGAAGACCTCAAAAAAATCCTATCCCACAAATTTAAAGACACAATCCAAAAATGGGCATCTTCAATTAATAGACACTTCTCAGATGAAGAAATACAAACAGCAAGTCAATATAATAAAAAAAAATTTCAACATCACTGGTCATTCAAGAAATGCAAATTAAAACAACCTTGAAATTCCATCTCACTCCAGAGAGAATGGCTGCCATCAAAAATATCAACCCAAAACAAATACTGATGAGGCTGTGGGGAAAAAAAGAACCCTTCTCCATTGTTGGTGGTAATGTCAATTGCTACAATCACTATGGAAATCAGGATAGAGATTCCTCAAAAAACTAAAACTAGAAAGCCAGGCATGGTGGCACAGGCCTGTAATCCCAGCACTGTGGAGGCTGAGGCAGGAGGATTGCGAATAGGAAGAACTGGTTCAAATTGGAAGGGAAACAAGCAAGGAGGGAACTAGGAGGGAAGGAAAGGAAAGGGGTTTTAAAAAACAGAATAGAAGGAAAAAATGGAAACAAAGCTTTTGTAAATCGAGAGGGAAAGAGGGATTGAAAGGGGGGGAGGGATATGGGAAAAATAATTGATATATTATGTACAGGTATAAATTACCCATGATGAATGTGCTCATTAGGTATGGCAAACAGGTATTAATAAAAAAAAATGAGAGAAAAGCAAAAAAAAAAAAATTCCTGTGCATTAAACTGACTATATGAGGCAGTAACTTCTTTCAGAAACATGAAATTTACTTAAGAAATATTACTCAGGCTTGCAGAGTACCAATGTTATTTTTGCATTTCAAAGTCATATTACCAGCTTTAAGCTTATTCTACCACTACCTTATTGACTATAACTCCCTTTACCCCTGCTGCAACAAGTACGTAAATAGGAATCTTTGTCTATTTGACACTATATACTCTGTATACCCTATCTACTGTAAGCACTTATAATAGTGTCCAGCATAAAAGAAGTAAAATAAATATTTCAAAGGAAAAAAGGAAAGAAAGGAAGCAGAAAGCAAGATGAAAGGGAGAGGGGGGAAGGAGATGAGGTGAAACAGAGAGGAGGAGGGAGGGGAGAGGGAGAGTGAGGGAGTACAGGGAGAGAGAAAAAGACAGTGAGACAGAGAGAGACTGACAGAGACAGAGAGAGACAGCGAGACAGACAGAGAGAGACAGAGAGAAAGAAAGAGAGAGGGACTGACAGAGAAAGACAGAGAGAGAGAGAGACAGAGAGAAACTCCCGTGCTAGGTTTCTTCTCCAAAGATTTAAAGATATAATACCACCACAATGATACACGCGTGCCATGTTGATTACAGCACAATTCATAATAGTAAAGGCTTCAGCTTATATATCTATCAAAAGCTGAATAGTTAGAGAAAATTTGTTATTGATACGTAACTGCACACTGCTAAACATTACGTACTGTAAATAGGTACTGATAAAACATTTAAAAAAGTGTCTTGCACTTAAAAAAAAGGCGAGAAAACATTAACTGGAGTAAAAGTGAAGAAACCAACAAGAAACAGCAAAATTAAGCTTCTAAGCACAAACAACAAAAAATTTAGCACACAGGAAAAAGAAAATACTATTTTTCTAATAAGTTTTCTAAATCAAATGTCACAGTTAAAACAAAAACTTAACACAAATAGTTACTCAAAACAGTATTTATTAATCTATCAGTAAGGCAATCTAAATAGAATTAAAGTTTTTATCCTTCACTCAAAGTGGCAAAGCACAAATCCCAGTAAAGTATGTTAAATTACATGTCTATTATAATATCTAGAGAAACTAGTAAGAAGTAAATATCAAGTGATACATTCAAAAAGAAATACAAATCCTTCAAAACACGAAAACAAGAAATTCCATTTTTGCCTGCTACTCGCCTTCATGGTAACTTCCTCAAAGTGTTAAAGACATTATATTACAATGATACATCCTTATGCATATTTATAGTAGCACAAGTCATAATAGCTAAAGCTTCGAAGTGGCCAATATATCCATGAACAGATGAATAGATGAAGAAAATGTGGTATATATACATAAGAGAGTACTACTCAGCTATAAAGAAGGATGCATTTGAATCTATTGTAGCAAAAGCAAGGCACCTTGATATCATCATATTAAGTGAAATCAGTCAGACACACAGGCTTAAATACTACACAACTTCTGTTCTATGAGAAACACAAAGCATAAATACTTTAAAAAAGATAGCCTGAGACAGGGAGATTAATCTTTTGGAAATGGGAGGGAGGAGAGGAGAAGAGTGGGAAGGGGGAAAGGAATGAAAAATAATATATGTGAAGTACATATACCTATCCCATAAGATGAATCCAAACATTAGGTACTGCAAAGATATACTAATAGGAAATTGAAAAAAATAAAAGTCAAGGTTAAAACGAAAAAACAAGAAGCTATCTAT